CATTTTGTACGAGAACAGGTAATTGCTGAACAAATGACAGTCTCGTATGTTCCTTCCCATGAGCAACTTGCAGACCTTCTCACAAAAGCTCTCTCTTCACCGCGCTACTCTGCATTGGTCGCCAAGCTTCCGCTCGTTTCACGACGTTCAGCTTGAGGGGGGATGTTAGATAACTATGGTAATAGTTATAGTTATAGAAGGATTGTTATTATAGTTAATTACCATACTTGGAGAATCCTAATTGATGTAGGAATCTCCATCTATATAAACTACCTTGTACACAATTATTTTCCTTGAGTTGAAATCCTAATTCAATACTAAGCCATCCTTGTTGGTGCTTTTTATGCTTCTTGATTTGATTCACATCCATGTCTAGTATAGTTATCTTCCTTTTGGAAGTTGTTATAATCTCCCACCTGCATAAATATCGTATAATACATTCTTAATGCACTCTGTCCAAAATAATGCACTATTTTGTTTTTAAAGCACCTGAATCTATAGTGCACATTTTAAGAAATTAATGTGTGGCCATATGCACTATTCACACATAAACAAATTACTTCTAAATGGCATGAGACGATAGAATCGTTTACACAATGCATCTTTTAGAATTAAGTATGCAACTCTAACAATACTGAATGCACGTAAAGGAGATAAAAAATGCACTAGGACATACAAGGAAATCTTAGATCTGCAAAAAAAAATCTCCACCAACCAACCCACATTTGCTCAAATGTTGTAATATCTTTGGATCTCACGTAATGCATTATGGATTTCAACATTACTTTCATTTTTGAGTGCATATTGTGTGAATTAAATTATATATAATAAACAGACAGAATTGCAAAACATTTAGCAAGGTTATGTGACACTCTAAAATTTAATGTAAGAACCAAAAATGTCAAACACCCAAGTAATTACACTCTTGAATGTGTTAAAAGGCTAGAATTTCAAGTTCGTATAGAATCATAAATCATATTTCCACTTAAATTAAAGTTGCATAAACAATAATCCCAATATCACAAATCCAAACCCTAAACTAGATTTATAAATGAAAGGACAAAAAATCTGACAACCACCAAAATGCAAAAAAGACGTTAAAATTAAAAAAATGCACATGTACTTTGGATTCGTCTCTGTTGTTGTCGCTCGTCTCTAGAATCGTCTTTGTTACCGTCGCTGGAGTGTGCACCGATGCTAAACCTTCATACTTCTTCATTTTAGACAGGGTGTTTGTCGTTCTTCATGGCGGATAGGGTGTCCGCCGCTCTGGGAAAATTGGTATTCTTTGAAAGGGATACGATAGTTTTCCATCCTTAATTGCCTATTATGCCCTTGTGCAGACATTTAGTTCCGCATCCCAATGCAAGCAATTTAATAAATCCTACCATTTAAAACATAGATGTGAATTTTAAGTGCATGGCTAATCTCATCCGTTAGATTCATCTAATCCAAGAAGCCATATTTATTCTTATTTCTTTCACTAAACACTATTCTCGTGTGAACCGGCCCCTATATATATATATGTATGTATGTATGTATGTATGTATATGTGTATGTATGTATGTATATATGTATGTATGTATGTATGTATGTATGTATGTATGTATGTATGTATGTATGTATGTATGTATGTATGTATGTATGCATGTATATATGTGATCTCACCGTACGGTGTCATCTCACTAGAGTCAATCCCATATATATGTGTGTGTGTATGTATGTTAACCTTAAAGGTTATTATAAACTTCCAAAGGATTGAACGTAATTAGGCAGACCAAAACAAGAACCCGAGTGCTGGGATAATCGATTATCAGGTTATGATAAATGATTATCAGACCATGCTGAATTCTCTTGTTTAGCAGCAAAACTTGATAATCGGTTATCACCGAGTGATAATCGACTATGGTAATCGATTATCACAAAGTGATAGTCGACTATTAGGTGCTGCAGGACCTTGGGATCATAAGCTGTCAAGCTTGATAATCGATTATCAGTACTGGACAATCGACTATCAACTAGTCCAGAACCCAACTAAGAATAAACGTGCTAAGAACCAAGGTACCGTTAACAATTCTAGATTCATAGGATTGAACTATCTGCTGAATGTTTGTTATGTTGGATGACTTGAATATGTTCTTGGTTTAATCCAAAGGTTATATATCATTCATATCATCATGTACATCCTAGACTCATGTTATAGGATTCATTTGCATCATGTCATACTACCGAAGGGGTCAGGCCTAGTGCGCCTCTGCAGTAGGCCCGTCCAAGAGCCTTCAGGGTCGACCGGGTTTCATTCGGAGGGCTTGTGTACGTATATGGGAATTAGGTTTTCAGTTACCACCCATTTCTTTCTAGTCTCCTCAAGAGACTAAGGTTTCCTCGGCTCATCACCGTCATGATATGATCACCGAAGGGTAGGGGGTCCCTGCATAGTCTAACTCATGCATCATGAATCATTTGGCATTGTGTTATTTGTAAGTAACTATGCAGATTTTAATAATCAGTTTTTTGTGTGGTGTTCCGTACATTAGTACAGGTAAAAATATGACTACATACATATGAAATATTTCTATGAGTTCTACTGCTAGATTACCACTCAGCTTATGCTGAGCATATAGCGTTGTCTTTGCTATACGCAGGTAGGCACGATGATGATGGAGCCTGACCCGGAGGATCGGGAGATCAGGGCGGCGGACATGCGATGGCGTGGACCTGATATATTTCTTACTTAACACTATAAAACTTTTTGGGCTTGGAACCCACGTTTGTCGTATTTAATTAGCGTGGACTAAACGTTCGGTTTTTCTAATGCTTCCGCAACAACATAACGTTCCATTCACTCTGATCAGTTAAGGGAATTAATATCCCCAGCGGTTTTTATCTGAATAAATATATCAAGAGTTTAAGTTTTATAATGTTTAATTCAAGAAGTTTCATTAGGGTGGTCCTAAATACCATCTGTGTGACCCCTTCGGCTCGTTGGGCTGCTGTAAACTGGTTTCGCGGGACGGAGGGTGTTACAATAATATTAATAATAATAGTAATAATAGTAATAGTAATAATAATAATAATAGTAATAATAATATTATTATTAATATTAATAGAAATAATAATAATACTTATAATAGTAATAACAATAGTAATAATAATTATAATAGTAATAGTAGTAGTAATAGTAATAGTAATAGTAATAGTAATAGTAATAGTAATAGATTATCATTATCATTATCATTATCATTATCATTATCATTATCATTATCATTATCATTATCATTATCATTATCATTATCATTATCATTATCATTATCATTATCATTATCATTATCATTATCATTATCATTATCATTATCATTATCATTATCATTAAGTAATAGTAATAGTAATAGTAATACTAATAATAGTATTGATGATAATAATAGCAAGAATAATAATAAAAATAAAAATATTAACTTTTTTTAGATATAGTCTGATCTGATTAGATCTGATCTGATTGGATCTCATCTGATCTGATTTTAATTAGAATAAGTAATAAGCAGAAAAAATAAGTTGAATGACACGCTGCCTTAGTCTTTAATCTCCGCAAAATCCAAATAAACAAATCAAATTCTATTTTTGAAGAACAAATTAATTTGATACAGATTTATTTTTTTACTTTCGAGGTTCATATCTCAGATATAAAAATTTTCACAAAAAAAAGATGCTTGGTGAGATAAAGAAAAGACACTTCGGATACACTGCATATATCTGTGAAACACTCGCTATGCCATATTGGCCCCATATTAGGAGCCATCGATATTTTTTTTCCTCTGCATCTATTACTCTTGATTATTTCGGGCCGTGTTTGGAAAACAGCTTTTCGGATAGCTTTTGGCATTTTTGATTGACTTTAGCTTTTTTGACTAAGCGAACAGCCTAAACCATTGTTTGGCTAATGATTCTTTCACTTGGCATTTTGATCCGAAAAGCCAAAATCTAAAATGCCAAGTGGAGTAGCATTTGGACTTGGCTGTTAGGAAAATTAATTTTTTTAAAATCATTTTGGTTGAAAGATATTTTATAATATATGTAAAAAATAAAAATAAAAGTTAAAGTTAAAAAAATTAAATACTAAAAAAATAAAATTCAAAATTTCAAAATTTCAAAAAAAAAATAAATGAGAAAATAAAAAGTAAAAATCGATAAAAAGTTTTATATTAATAATTTTCTATGAATTAAATGAAATTAAAATTTAATACTCCAAAGTAAAGATTTATGAAAAATAAATATCCTGTGTATGTGTGTCTATACACACAGACACACACAGATATATATATATATATATATATATATATATATATATGTATATATATGTGTGTGTGTGTGTGTGTGTGTGTGTGTGTGTGTGTATATATATATAGGAAAAACTATTTTCAAACAGCTAATTTTACCACACATTTTTAATGATCAACCAATTCATCTTGCCGGTCAAACCAGTTAAACTAAACAGTCATTCACAACAGCTGGCACGAACAGCCAACAGCTAAGAGCCAATATCCAAACAAGGCCTTCATCTTTACGCATCTCCGTTGTTCATCTAATTGTCTCTCCTCCGGGGGGTGGGGAGGCCTCCTGTAAAAGAAATAGGATTATGCAAGGAATATCTTGTAACTTGAAATAGAAAATATATATTCCTTTCGTCCACAAATAAATTTCTCGTTCACTATTTACATGGTCAAACTTTATTCACTTTGTTGGTATATTTTCGTTATCATTTGATAAAATAATATAGTCATGTCACATCTAGTTTTGTAAATCTTTTGATATAGTTTTTTAATATGTAATTTTTATTTTAAAATTTCACACCATTTTTCATATAAAGTGATTTAAAAATAACTTCAGTCAAGCATCGTAACGCGCAATGTGAAGTTTATTTGTGATAGGAGGGAATAATGATTAATAAAAGATATTCCACCTATTCTTGAAAATATTTCGATCCCTAAGACGGATGGTCTAAATTAAAGAGGTCGGGGACATTGGTTTAAACTATACTCTTGTGTGCACCCAACCAAATTGACCCTTATGATTGCGTATTAGTGGAGAAGAGAAATATTATGTGAACACACTTTTTTTTCAAAAAGAAAAAGCGTCTTTTTTACGGTAGATATGGCGGGAGCTGAGGGAATGGTTTTCGTAGATGCTCTGATTGAGCAATTCCATAGCTATCTCAATTGTGACCAATGTGAATACCACAAGGTTGCTTCTCAGTCCGAATCACACCATCTTGTGAGTTGAAGACTACTCTCTGCTGATAGAAAAATGCCCTGGCCCGGACATCCTTTCAAATAACGAACAACTCTAAGGGCCGCAGACCACTGATCCTCCCTTGGTCCCTTCAAAAACTGTGCTAAAGTTTGGACGGCGTAAGAAAGTTCTGGTCGTGTAACGGAAAGATAGACTAACCTTCCTACCAACCGTCGATATGGTTCTGGATCTGCAAGAACCGGGGCTTGGGAACGAGCCAATTGATGATTTGGCTCCATCGGGGCACCCAACGGCCTGGCACCTAACAACCCCACCTCAGTGATGATATCTAAGGCGTACTTTCGTTGGCAGAGAAAAATCCCAGACGTGCTCCTCGCCACCTCAATGCCAAGAAAATATTTTAGTGTTCCCAAGTCCTTCATGTGGAAACAATCTCCGAGATAGGCTTTGAACTTGCTCACCATCTCTGTATTATCTCCAGCAATAATCAAATCGTCAACATAAACCAAAACATGTATTACTCCTTTCTTTCCAACAAAAGAAAATAAAGAGTAATCAGAGACAGATTGCACAAATCCATATCGTCTCAATGCGCCAGACAATTTTGCAAATCAACATCTTGGAGCCTGTTTCAAGCCATACAGAGACTTCTTGAGTTTGCACACCATATTAGACGAACTCGAGAAACCGGGCGGCAACCTCATATACACCTCATCTTGAAGATCTCCATGCAGGAATGCATTGTGAACATCCATCTGATGCAATTCCCAATCCTTAACCGCTGCGACTGCTAAAAGGGTTCGCACAGTGGTCAACTTGACTATAGGAGCAAAGGTTTCTTTGTAGTCAATACCTTTAACCTGGTGATTACCAAGTATAACAAGCCGAGCCTTGTATCTTTCCACACTGCCATCAGACTTGCGCTTGATTTTATACACCCACTTGCATCCAAGAGCCTTTTTATGACGTGGGGGATGAACAAGGGACCACGTGCCATTAGCTTCCAACGCATCAATTTCTTCTCGCATGGACTTCCTCCATCGCTCATCCTGGAATGCCTGTTTGAAGTTTCTAGGCTCTATTTCTTCATCAAGCACTGTGAGGAAACACTTATGTTTGTCAGAAAATTTCTCATAAGTGACATATGAGGAGAGTGGATATCTGCACTTCTCTCCGTTATGTGGACTAGCAACATGCGTAACATAATCCACAAGCCTCACATTTGGGCGCCTTTCCCGTTGACCACACCCAAGGTCTCTGCTGCTTTCTGGGAAGAGGACGGTCGACCGCCATCCATGAATTGCCAATTCAACCATAAAAAATGCAAGAAGATTTATATTTCCTACCAAAACTCTATATTCTGCTGTATATTCTGTATATTTTCTCACATGTAAGGACAGCCAAAACTCTATATTCTGCTTCAGCAGACGAGCGAGCCACCGTCGACAGGCGAGTCTCCAATAGTGGTGATTCACTACTCCAAAAAAAGTGTAAATCAACTATCTCATTTGCACCAGTTTCACTGAAAACCGATAAAAAAAGTGCTACCCAGAATTGGCATCAGTTCTGGGTAACCTTTTGCATTGAGTTTTCTAGAATAATTCATGCAAAAGACTTTTCCAATTTTAGCTGGAAGGTTTTTTTTGCATCGGTTATTCTAGATTAACTGATGCAAAAATCCTTACCTGAGCGCGAATTATGTACTCATGTAAGGTCTTTTGAATCAGTTAAACAACTGATGTAAAAAATATGTGTACCTGATGGGTGTAATCCACCCAGAACCGGTCAAAAGTAATGCCCAGATATTTGACCGGTCAAGAGAGTTATTTCTAAAAAAGGGACCCGAATCGTCAGTAAAAGGGTGACTGGCTGACCGGAAAATTGACCGGTATACTTTGGATAGGTGTACCGGTCAAACTACTCCATCTTTTAATTCATCCTCCAAAGTCAGTTAATCCAACCCTCAAGAACTACCCGGTACAGTTTCCGAGGATTAGAAGGTGTCGGTAGGAAGAATCCAATGGAACTTGGACTATAGTGACTAGTATCACTGGAAGATCAAGGGAGATGCTGAAGGAATCTGTCCAAGCCAGTACGCGACAAGGGCACAGTCTCCCTCGCAAGATGACGAAGCAGCAAGAGGACGAAGGCCATCACCTCCCACCATCCGAGAACGTGCCCCCACGTGGGTGCACGCCGTTCTGTCCCCTGCAACTCAGTATATATACATGCTGTAACCCTCGAAGAAGGGGATCCGAATGAATTCATTCTCTCTAAGTTCCCTTGTAAAAGCACCCGTGCATTCTCTCATATTAATATCAATTAGGCTACAGATGTTTCCACCTACAGCCTTACCGGTCATTTTAAGTGTTTTTACCTTTTTACTTTATCAGATCAAGTGAACTATTCTAGACCCGGTCTAGTATAGTTTATCCGGTTAGATAATTTACACCATCAGTACCCATTATTGTATCGCTACCTTTTGCATCGGTAAGAAAACTGATACAAAAGGTCAAAAATAACAGAGGGAAAAGTATTTTCTATAGTAGTGACTCAATGCACTCAAGGTCCACACCTAATTCCTAGACCTTCTCACAAAAATTGTTGGGCTTAGAAGCTAATGTAGAAAAAGCCTCCTTTCACCCAAGTTAATGTGCCTAATTCTAAGCCTAATCCTAATCTTAAATCCTAATTCTAATCCAATTATCACACTTTTTTACTCTTATCTAAGGAGTTTTTTTAATTCTAATACTAAACCCTAATCATGATCTTAATCCTAATCTTATCCCTAATCCTTATAAATATTTAATTCTAATCTTAATCTTAATTTTTAATTCTTATCCTAACTCTAGTCAAAATCCTTAATCCTAATCCTAATACTTATACTTTTTTGGTGTTATTGACTCTATTACAATGTAATATCTATTCATACATTTCTCGAACTTGGGTGAACTTTCTCATGAATCATAAGGAGTGGGTTTCCTACCTAATACTCATACTAATACTAATACCAAGGAATCCACATCACCAAGGTCCATATAACTGGAATGGATCTTAAGACCATGGAAATATTTGTCGTTTTGTAAAAAGTTTAATTCTTTTATGATATCAATATAATAATTAAAGTCGAAGTAATAAACATGGGTCTTAGGACCATGTTAGAATTTGCTTAAAAAACAAACAAAAAAAATAATGCATAGGAGAGGGAAAATAAAAAGATGTATTAGTGAGGAAATCTTGTTTTCCTCAGCATTGAAAGAGCTCTCAAACTACTAGGGAAGTAAGATTTGACACCATGTTTGACATCATATCATAATGTATCTAATAGACACACACAAAGTTTTTTGCATATAATTATTGTCTATAAATGTGCATGAGACCATATAATACTCTTTCCGTCCAAAAATGATATTCCCAGTTCGGCTTACGAGATTTGAGTGAAACTATTTTTAATTCATTTTATTTGATTATAGGTGTAAAATTAAAAAAATAAAATTATATATTTTAAAACTACATCAAAAGGTCTACCAAACAATAGGTGACATTACTATATAATTTTATCAAATAACTAACGAAAATAGATAAAGAAAGTTATAATAGTTTGATCATGTAAATAGTGTCTGAGAAGATCATTTTAGAACGGAAGGAGTATAATATTAAACGTTGTATTCTCTTCGTCCCTGAAAATCTTTATCCTTTTTTTCATCCGTTCTAAACAACTTTTCTTATTTCTATTAAAAAGTCACTTTCACTCATACTAATTTTTAACATACATATCACATCACATCTATTCACTATAAATCTACGCATCAAATCATACTTTTACTATCACATCAAATGACGACATTTTTGAAAATTTAACACCAAAATGCATTCTTCTTAAATCTCTTAAAAATAAAAATCTCTCATGTTTTGAGGGACGGAGGGAGTATTATACCGCCTTCGTCCCTAAATCATTTACCCTTTATGAAAAAACAAAATAAAATTTCAAATTTTTTCAAATCATTTTATTTAAAGATTGGTATATAAATAAAAATAAATAAACCTTACATATTTGAAAAGTACATCAAATGTTATACAAAAAAAGATGTGACAATAATATTTTATTTTATCAAATAATCAATAAAATCATGCACACAAATAAAAAAAGTCTTTCGATTTTTGAGTAGTAAAGTGTGTAAATGAATTAGATACTTTTGAAAATAGGGACCTCTAGCTTTTTTTTATAACATTGCCTTTGAAAACAAAGCGTTATATACGGAGTACTAAAGAGTCGTAAAGACTAATTAATGATGAGAAATGTGCTTTTTGGTTTTTGTGTTCCATAGAAATTCTTTATCTATCTTTTCCATTCATACTAAAACAAGTTTTTTACTTTCTATTTACGAAATACTCCCTCCGTCCACCTAAGATCTTCTCATTGCACGTTATGACGCTTGACCGACTTTATTTTCAATTCAATTTTTTTGAATATAGGTATAAAATTTTAATATAAAATCTATATAGTAATAAACTACATGAAAAATTCAACAAAACTAGAGGTGACAATAGTATATTATTTTATGAAATGGGTAGTAAAAATAAACAAACATAGTGAGTTAAGTTTGACCCTCTAAATAATGTCTGTGAACATCTATGGTAGACAGAGGTAGTATTATGTACTATGTAGTCAGTCTTTTTCAACTTAATCTTATTATTTATTACCTTTTCTTATTTAAATCAGATCAAACCAAATAAGATTAGAAATAGTTTTAAATATAACTACATCCAGATAGAAAAATATCAAAAATTATTTCAAGGAAAGAGAATATGACTATAGTCTAAAATACTCATCCCTCTTAGCTTTTTAGTCAAATTATTTAGAATAAACACCAAAATAGATATCCCATTATACAAGGTTAATACAGACACTTAATATCTATGATCACAAATACGAGCCGTCTATATATGCTTGTCTGGTATTATAAATAGATACTTCATTTTAGTGTACTTCTAGCATTGTCGTATTATTTAATAGTTCCGTATCTTTTCATCATTTCCTCTTTAAAATCCGTAAAATCCAAATACACATCAACCTCTTTTCTTGAATGAACAAATTAATTAGATACAGATTTATTTTTTACTTTTGAGCTTCTACAAAAAACAATCGCACATGATTGTGGGAATCTCTATCGAACACATATCTTTAATAATAATAATAATAATAATAATAATAATAATAATAATAATAATAATAATAATTAGGGGTGTTCATCGGTCCAGGACCGAACCGAACTAGACCAGACCGAAGACCGAAATGGGAAAAAATTAGCACCGAAGTCCGGACCTATAATTGTTCGGTTTTAGACCGGACCGAACCGAAAACCCTCCGACCGGACCGGTATGGACCGAAAAGACCGAACTGTACTAAATCTTTTACTTTTTAGAACTGATTTTTTAAATGTTTTACCAAGTAAAAAATACTAATTATACCCAAAAAAAATACAGTTCATCACAAACCAATGAATCATCATGGGAAATTAGAGATGCATTTTTTATAAACTGAAAAAACTTCATCATGCAATTGTATATTAAAAAAATTACAGTAACTTGGATTTTATTTCTTCTTTAGATTCCTTCCAAAATTGAACCAAAAATAATAATTCCTCACAAATCATCATAGGGAATTAGAGATGCAATTATATCAAACTGATAAAACTTCATCATTCAATTGTATAAAAAAAGTACAGCATACAATTTTACAAAAAAAAAACGGTCCTTGGATTATGAACTGGAGAGGAGAAAAGGGATTACATCCTTGATGTAGCATGAATTTTTGTCTATTATTTAGCCTTAATAGAACAAACCTTTAAAAAAAATTGGGTGGTTTATTCAAAAATAAAATTGAAAACTTTCTAACCTGTGAATCGACTATCAAGTAAGAGAGGAAAGGCATCCCGCAGAAGTGGATTGTGGGGAATCGGCAGTGATTGCCGACACTAGTGGAGGTCGGAGAAGATGAGTGTGGTGGCGACTGGCTAATCGATGAAAGCTGCCAAAATTGGTGACGGGTTGAGAAGATGGAGGAAGGTGCGAATCAATTGGGTGGAGAAGATGACGAAGAAGATGGAGATTGTGGAATTTCATAACACTACTATCCTTTTTGTCGATTCAATTTGAAGAATCAAAGTACTGAAGATGACTTTTGAGTGAGAGGGAGAAACGTGACCAGAGAGAAGGGAATGAATGGATAGGATAGGGTTGTGGATATTAGCAGGTAATAGGTTTTTTCGGTCTCTCTGTCCAGACCGAATGGTAATCGGGTATGGACCGGATCGGACCGAAACCTGAAATCATAAATATTCCGGACCGAAGACCGACTCGATATTAGTTCGGTCCGGTTTCGGTCTGGACCTAACGGTCCGGTTCGGTCGGTTTTTTCGGTCCAGACCATATGAACACCCCTAATAATAATAATAATAATAATAATAATAATAATAATAATAATAATAATAATAATAATAATAATAATAATACTCAGAATTTATAATGATAATATTTTTTTAATCATAATAATAAATTAATACGGAGCAAAACCTACCGAGTAACCTATCCCTCCTAACCCCCAAGTAAACATCCTAACACATCATCACCGTACCTCCTCCAATTACTCCACTTTTTTTATTTGTGTCCAGAAATTGACCGCAAAGTCAACAAAATCAAAGGCGGTGTAACTGGACGGGGTGCGAGAGTGCATTAGGGTCAGAGCTGAGTTGTGAGGGTTTTACCGAGGGGTTATGGAATAGGAAAAATCTATTTTATGAACGGAGCACTATAGTTATCTCTGTAGTTATCTCAAACGGAGTGTTGTAATATATATATATATATATATATATATATATATATATATATATATATATATATATATATCCCCCAACCATGTCGTTAGAGAGCGATGCATTACAAGTCTCTTCAACCAAAAAATGTTTTCATCTAACCTTTGCTTTGCTCTCTTATTATTATTATTAGTCATCATGGTAAGCAGTGAGGCGGTGAGGAGTAATAACTTCTACAGCCTTCAGCTTAGCTCTCTCCTCACTAAGCATCAACCTTCCACTGCTCATTGCCAAAATTACCATAATAACAACAATCCGCGTCCTTCAGGTACGTACGCCATCAAAGTCTCCCTCCATCCCAGCTATGGTACTATATATACTTTCTTCCGTTCTTTATTAAAAAAATTAAACCAAAATTTTCTTCATTATTTGAATGTATCAAATTAAATAAAGAAATATTTGCTCTAAATAGCACCAAAACTTAAGTCATTTCCCTAAATAGCACTTAAATTGTTTTACTCCCTAAATAGCACTTAATAATGTCTATAATGTCCTGTGATGACGAATATTTACTTGAATAATGACTAATGCATAATGACTAAAAGTGCTACATTAGGAAGAAAAACACATATAGTGCTATCTAGGGAAAGTCATTATATTTTAGGGTTATTTAAGTAAATTCCTCATAAATAAATGTCGCATACGCGAGTTTGAGCTCAAGATTAATAGAAAAACTCACCCAACTGACCCAAGTTTGAATTCGAGCAGAGACGAAAACATTAGCTCACTATATATGCAACATTAGATTAAGAAAGTATTAAGATCGAGATACAATATTTTAATAATGAAACTAATAGCATTTGATACGATTTGATAGTAATTGGTCTTATTGAATATTGAAGGATACATCCCTATTTGTAGGAATTTCATGAGAGTTTTTTAATCACAGTAGAAGAACAACTATGGTAACAAGGAAAATCATATAACAAGGAAAGTAGTTACATACTACTTCCATCCTGGAGTATTTTGTCTAGTTTTGAATTTTTTCAGTCAAGTATTTTCAATCTGATCTTATAATTAAATAAAATATACTCCCTCCGTCCCAAAAAGTTTGTTACGTTTAGAAAAAACTGCGTCCCGTAAAGTCCGTTACATTTCTATTAAAAAACCACTTTTACCCCTTACTTTTTTATACCCTACCTATCACATCATACCTTTTTTCTAATAATTTACCCATCACATCCTACTTTTACTCATCACATCAAGGGTACTTTTGGAAAGTCAATACCAAAATATCCCTCCCTTAATTTCTCAAAAAGTCAAACCGTCCCATTCTTTTTGGGACGGAGGGAGTATATTGTATATTCTTCAAAAAAGTGATGGTTCTTAACTCTCTTATCCCTCGGGTAAACCCACCCACCCGACCCGACCCGAACTCTTCCCTCCCTCTTCAATTACACTCCCTAATTTTGTTGTTTTTAGAGTCAAAATCTTATTTTATACCTTTAATTTTTTATTCAATACTTAAATATATAAGCTATACTCCGTAAACTTTATTCTATTTTTTTATGTTATTACTTAGTTTAAAAGCCCATTTTAACCTCATTTTTTATCCAGGATGGACTGTCCTCATTCTTTGAAATGTACTATCTCTGTTCCAAAAAAAATGTGTCCTAAAAATTTACAATTTTGATATTATTTTCTAATTTTGCCTTTACTTTATAATAAAGTATGATGTGATGTGTAGAATAGATAAGTCATAATTAGAAAATAATATCGAAATGACGCATTTTTAGGGTTCATATTTTTTCATTTTTGAAAAACTTTTAGGGTGCTAATCTTTCAAACATTAGCATTTAGTTTCTCTTTTTCTTTTCAAAAGCTACTCTAGATCATTAAAATTGTCAGAAGCAACCTAGTCTACACCGAAAAAAACAAATTTGTGATCAAGAACTTGGCCTATAACGAACAATATCATACTAATGCAGGATTGGAGTGAGGTCACACGTGGTCCTTACAATTCTGTAACCAAAATGATAGCACTAATTGAAATCGTGATTTCCAAACAAGTCCCAAGTTAAAGAGAATTTAATTGAGTAAATTACCAGACAAAGGAGCATAACACGCGCGAGTACTTTACCCAAATTGGACTAATATATATTTTAATTAATTTAGGACATTTTGGTCATATTCTTGGCAATGAAGTCCAAAGTATAAAGTATGAATAAAAATAATAAAATAATGACCATGAATTAAATATAATTTAAAATAATTGAATATTGTAAAAATTTGATATTTCAAAACTTTTTTTAAATAAACCAAATTCTACTAAATTTACATTATAACGAATTTTTTTCCCATAATTTGTGGTTAAATGGTTCTACAATTTGACCAAAAAAGTCATACTGGTGACAATCTTTTTAAGGACGAAGGGAGTAGAAAAGAACATTGCCTCAATTACATAAGCATCTATTGTTAAAAAATCGTTTGGAGGATGAGCGTTGCGAAACAACGTTAACAGTAAGATGAACGAAGAAACAAATGAATTACGATTTGATAGTTTAACGAATCGCGTGTAAACACTTTCTTGGTTTATGGCTGTATACTATATATGCAACATTAGTTTAAAACCGCATTTTTAACCGCCTCATATTTTTATCCCGGAATGGACTGTCCTCATTTTAAAAAAAATGCATGTGATACGGTTATTAAGGCCCGTAAATATCACATCTAATGATTTCTAATCAGTCTCCGAATTTTATTTAACTAGAGTTGGTAATTGAGGATGGAGTTTAGACACTCAATAAAGGATACTTTTGGCAACAACATTATAAGTTAGAGCTAAGGTTTTAAAAAATCTTTCAAACATTAGCATTTAGTTTCTTTTATTCTTTTCAAAAGCTACTCTACATCATTAAAATTGTTTGAAGCAACCTAGTCCACCTGGAAAAAAAAGATGAAAAGAATGTGATGGTTTAACCGAATTCATTAGTATGAGATCTCTTGAAAAGTATCCAAAAATAAATCTCTGAACAAGGACTTGGCATATAATTACAGATATCAAACTAATGCGACGCTGGGTGAGGTTACTCGATATAAAAGTATAAGACGAGTATTTTACCCAAACTGGACTAATTTATTTTTTAAGGACGTATATGGCCTGGTCACATTCTTGGTAATGAAGTCCAAAGTATAAAGTCTGAATAAAAAGACATGAATATCAACTTTGAAAAATAATAAAACTACACAATGTAACGCTATTAAATAACTTTTTTAAAAAAACTAAAACTAAATGTTGAAGTTGCCAAATAAATTCTATATTTTCTTTCAAGAACCCCTTCAAGATAAAGGGCTCACGAGTTTTGGATTTTTCATAATCAAATTTTGTTGATTCCGTTTTCAAAATTATGGAGAATCAGATTGTTACATTTATTTAGATTCTACTCCTTCCTTACAAAGTACTCTCTTTGTCCCAACTTTTTTCTATTTTTACTATTCATGCATTTCAAAAAATTCTTCTACTTTCAATTAAAATCTCATTTTTACCTCTTTTATTTCAAACCTAAGTATCATATTGTTTTTGACCTCAGATAGATAGATAATTACTAAAAAGATATGATATGATAGGTATCACCAAAATTATAGGCGTATAGGAAAAGTTGTGTTTGGATTTTAAGCGCGTAAGATACCGAAAAATATTGAGAACACTAGAAAAATGAGAGAACAAACACAGGAAGAATATATATGAGAGAAAAAAATTATATTTCTATTGAGTTTATGAAATAATAGATTTTACTTGAATAATAGATGAGGATACATATGTGTATATATAGCTAGAGATCCTATCATGAGTAGGACTAGGACTCCTCTAAGATGACAACTTGTTGTTCTACTACAATTAGGACTACAATAATACAATAATACTATTATGTCTAACATCCCCCCTCAAGTTGAACGCCGTGAAACAAGTGGAAGCTTGGAAACCAAAATGGAATAGCGTGGCGATGGCAAAGCTTTGGTAAGGAGGTCGGCCAGTTGCTCTGTAGATGGAACGTGAGAGACAGTCATTTGCTCTGCGATGACCTGTTCCTTCACAAAGTGACAGTCGGTACCCACATGCTTCATGCGTTTGTGAAATACTGGATTTTTGGTTAAGCAGATAGCAGACTGATTGTCACAGTAGAGATGTGGTGGAGGAAGCTTATTCTTCAATATGTCAAACAAATATGTGAGCCACATTACCTCAGCAGTGGCAGCAGAGAGAGCCCGGTACTCGGCCTTAGTCGACGAGCATGATACACGGCTTTGTTTCTCTGTGCTCCAAGAAATGAGATTCGGGCCGAAATATACCAAGTAACCTGTAATGGATTGTCCATCGGACATATCATTAGCCCAGTTAGAATCAGAATAGGCTTGCAACTTCTGAGGGCCTCTGCGAAATATGAGTCCCCTATCAAGTGTGCCCTTAACGTAGCGCAAGATACACTTCAAGGACTAGAAATCTTGCTCTGTAGGAGAATGCATACGCTGACAAACATGGTTCACTGCAAACTGAATATCGGGCCTGGTGTTTGTCAAATATTGAAGGGAACCAACTAAACTGCGAAAGAAGGTCGGATTTGCAAAAGGGCGGTCCGCTCCATCCGCGGCCGACCGTACAGGAATGGGAGTTGGCGACGGTTTGCATTCCTCCACACCAGCTTTATGAAGTAGTTCCCGGGCATATTTTTCCTGAGAAACAATAAGACAATCTTTTGTACGTTTGACCTCAAGACCCAAAAAATAGTGAAGAGGGCCGAGGTCCTTCATCTGGAATTCTTGCTGCATGGAGTGGATAAATGTAGTAATAAGGGAGGAGTCACTCCCGGTGACAATAATGTCATCCACATATAATAGAACAATAAGAATGCCATGAGTAGAGTGTTTTACGAAAAAACTAGTGTCATGCTCATTTTTCCCAAAACCATACTCCTGTAAAAAACCTGAGAGGCGCTCATACCAAGCCCGGGGAGCCTGTTTAAGGCCGTACAAAGACTTCTTCAAGGGTAAAATGTAAATTATTATTACCCTAATCAGAATGGTACATCAATGTCAAATGCTGAACCATAAAAATTGTTCCATGCATGTATAAGACAGTTACAACAACAAGCCCAAATGGGTAACAAACAAACAACAATACAAAGTTGGCACACAGGCCGTACAAAATAAATATCCAGAAACAAATCAACAGTGTAATCCAGCACGTCCATTCTCTTGCGGAATCCACTTCCAGCTTCCAGTACCCTGCACCATCAACGACAATAATACGGTAGGCAAAGCAAGAGCAAGGAGGGAGTATATATTGGTGGCACAATCAAACTCCAACCATACGTACCCCCTCTCAAGGATCAGGTATCGCATAAATTCATACAGATGAACCGCAAAGCTACTTCAAAAGTCGGTCCAAAGTTCTTCATCCATGGTTGCATCCAACAGAAGCAATAATTATGTTATCCTTGCCATAGATACCACCGGCATGCCAAGGGCCACGTCCCGACTAGCAGAAGTTGTCCACCATCGTCGAGGAGGACAACTTAACACCAAAGTGACCTCACCCTGCCATACAAACCCCTCCCCTAGGTCTACGACCAGAGTGCCCCCCAGGTATTTGGCAAGCATCCCCATACAGACGAGGCACAAGTTCACCAGGTTGTCCCACAAGCCTTCATCTACTATTGCCTTCGGTTGTTCAGAAACAATACATAGATAGGCAGGCAACCAGCAAAACCGACCTCTGAAACCCGAGAAAGAAGCCCAGTTAGCCAGAAGCTCACTTCATAGCCATGATAGTCCCGGTTCTTCCAACAACCCTAACCGAAAGGGTCAAGAAGAGCACGGGGCAGCCTGCCAGCAAGACCCAAATGCAATAACAAACATAAAACCCAGCTCCAAATCAAATGGTGGTGCCTCCCAAAAGAGGCAAAAACCATGGACAACGGGAAACCCTTCAATTGCCCAAGAACCACCACAAAACAATTCCATCGCAAATCCAAAATCAGCCCATGATCAAGATCATAATACAAAGCAAATAAACACACCAAGGCAGCCCAAGCAATAGGAAACAAAACTGAGACCAAAACCAGGGACCTAAGCATGCGGCAAGACTTGGCTCCATCTTCCCTTCGGCCTTCCAACCCAAAGCAAACAGCAAGACCAACTTCCAGCCAGGAAATGAAGCTACACGCAAACTCCAGGTAATGTCTTCTTGCGGCAGACCTCTCTTCAAGAGGAGCTGAGAACCTGACCCCTAGGTCATGCGCAAAAATCCAAAACAGCAGCAGCAAGAGCACCATTTCACAGGGTATGGTCTTCCATAAAATCAGTTCATCATGGTTCCACAATCCAGCCCATAGACTAGCCAAATATGTCCCTGTCCGTAGCATGTGCAATTAGCAGGTGTAGGAAGAGGTTTTGGCTCCTCCCTCATCAATAAAATCCATCCCAAAACAGCCAATGAAAGTATTGCAGCAACAATGTAGAAGTTGCTGGCCAAAGCCACTGCACAGGCAGCAAGTCATGCTTAGGCGGCCCATAATCTGAATTCCAGAACAGCATCAGCCCCAAAACAAGACCAAACAGCCCTCAGTTGTATTCAGTGGCGGAGCCACATTGGGTCAAATGACTGCAGTTGCACCCACTGAAATTGGATAAGTTTATACATATATAGTAGTTTACTTAATATTTGGCTTAGCTGATTTGGTTCAAGACCTGGAAATCAGCCACTAGACCCTGAGTTCGAACCCCTCCCCCCTCTTTGTTTGATAAATTTTTGATAAACTATTCCTTTATAATTTTTTTATTTATACTTTGACCCCACTCTCCCCAATACCTGGCTCCACCACTGGTTGTATTCCAAGCAAAACACCCCCTACAACGGGCATGACCAACTGACCCAACAATGGACAGCTGATCAAAACCCTTCTCCAGCCCCATGATTCAACAAGATGCAGCAAGTGTTCTTCCCAAAATTAATAGCAAAAAAAACATACCCCAAAACATAGAGCAGCAAAAATAACAGCCATACAACAACAGCTTTGAGGGTTCACTCCTCAAACACAAATCAAACGTAGAATCAAACAAGTGTTGCTGAATCAAGCATCAACACCATCTCAAACAAACGAACATAAGTCCACAAAGCTAGGCCAAAAATCGAGCAAAAAACTTGTGACAGTTCAAGTTCCACAGTCGCGCTATGCACAGTAACAACGAAACCCAAAATGCCTTAAATTGAAAGAGAATTCATATGATGTAGAAATCCAACTTCATAACTGGAAGAGGATCACAAACCGATCAAAATCTCAAAAGAATCACCAGCCAAAAAGCCCGGATCAATTTGAAACGGAGAATCAAAATTGCGAATGAACAGTGTCGGGCACAGCGTTGACCTGCGATTTGGATTCACCGGCTGAAGGCGCATCCAAGGTTCCAAAAATCTCAAGAAATGAGCTTGAATCGGTGGAGGAGAAGCATTTCACATTCCCGTGACACTGTTCATCTCGCGAGTCTAATGAGAGAAACCCCCGCCTCCATTGAGAGCTCTTTCAATTTACACACATGATGAGGGTATTTCTGATCAATGTAACCAGGCGGCTGCTTCATGTATATCTCATCTAGGACTACGCCATGTAGAAAAGCATTAGAGACATCCAACTGATGCAATGGCCAGTCATGATGCACTGCAAGAGAAAAAATCAAGCGAATAGTTTGTTGTTTGACCACGGGACTGAAAGTCTTAGAATAGTCCAAGCCATATTCCTGTGAATACCCCTTTGCCACCAAGCGAGCTTTGTACCTGCTAACAGATCCATCAGAGTTACATTTTATTTTGTAAATCCACTTACAACCAATAGGAACTCGATCTAGAGGACATGGAACTAAGTCCCATGTGCGCTGATTTATCAAGGCAGAGTATTCTTCGTCCATAGCCTGACACCAATACGTACTCTAGGAGGCTTCCTTCTATGTAACAGGCTCAGTATCGGGTGGGTTAGACTTAGGAATAAGGGTAGAGTAGAGTTTAGGTTTGAAGATACCACTACGGGCACGGGTGGTCATGGGGTGGTGGCGGAGGTGGAGTAGGGACAAGACTTGATTCGGGACGTGGGGACAGGGTTATGGGCTGTGAAGTGGGGTGGGTGTGAGCTTCGAGAGGGCTGGTTGGCAGGGTGGCTGTTGATATGGGCGAGTGCGAGGGTTGGGTGATGGGGTTGGGCGTACTGCTGCTGGCAGCTGGTGGGTGTTGGTGGGCAGTAGGTTGCTGGTGAGTAGCAGGGAGGGTGGGTTGGATAATGGGTTGTGGTGATCGTGCTATGGTAGGGACCCCGTGAGCATGGGTTGACGGAACGGACGAGAGAGCCGGAAATATTGGGAGGACGCTGAAAAAGGACTCAGGAGAAGCAGTAGACGACACATTTGGGGAAGACCTTGTGGAGTACGGAAACTACTGTTCTTGGAACTCGACATGACGGGAAACATATAGGCGACCCGTGGAGGGGTCATAACATCGATATCCTTTCGACGAGGGATCATACCCAAGGAATACACACCTTTTGGAGCGAGGTTGAAACTTGTGTGAGATTTCATGACGAAGACACGGATAAGATAGACACCCAAAGACACGAAGGATGGAGTATTCAGGTTGTGTGTGGTAGAAGGCCTCATAAGGAGAGCGGTGCTGGAGGGATCGCTTTGGCATACGGTTAATTAAATAGTTTGCCGTAGCCAGAGCTTCAACCCAGAATGTCGCTGGAAGGGAGGCAGTACACAAGAGAGTCACAAGTGTTTCAACTAAGTGACGATGTTTACGTTCAGCAACCTCGTTCTGTTTGGGTGTGTAGGGACGGGATTTTTGATGAAGAACCCCCAAGCGTCGTAAAAATAACCCAAACTGTTTGTTTACATATTCACGACCATTTTCTGTGCGGAAAATTTTAATTTGAGTGTTAAACTGCGTTTGAACCATAGATCGAAAACTTTTAAACGCATGGAACGCATCAGATTTACTCTTAAGAGGATAAAGCCAGCAAAACATGGTATAATCATCAATAAAATTAATGTAAAAACGAAAGCCCCGAAAGGAGGGTACAGAAGTGGGTCCCCATACATCAGAATGAACAAGATCAAAAGGAAAAAATGCCTTAGTTTCAGATACAGGAAAGGGAAGCTTATGGGATTTAGCAAGTGAACACGCGTCACAGTGATCAAGTTCTTGAAGCTTAAAACCGAGTTGTGACAATAGAGACTTCGTGACTTGTACTGATGGGTGACCAAGACGGCAATGCCACTGATACGGAGACACTTTGACCATGTGGACTACTAGTGACGGGTTGGACGCAGGGATGGAATACAAACCGCGCTCATAGGGGCCCTTGAACAGCACTTGGTTGGTTTTGTTGTCCCGAATCGTAAAGTCCTTAGAGGTAAAAAGAAGGGAACAATTATTATCTTTAGTGAATTGGTGAACAGATAAAAGGTGAGAGTTAATAGTAGATGAATGTAGTAAATTGGAAAGATGGAAGGTGTGGTGTGAGGTGGGTAAAATACCTGAGCCTGTGTGAGTAATGGGATAAGGGTTACCTCCTGCAGTAGTAATAGTATTAGAGCCATGATATGGAGAAGCATACTGTAGACGTGATAAATCAGACGTCACATGAGTGTTTGCCCCTGTATCCAGATGCCAATTCGAATTGGTGTGAGTAGATTGACTTGTGTAAAACGCTTGTGGAGGACCAGTATATGACTCATCAAAACGGTGCCAGCAATCCCAGACCACATGTCCAGGTTTTCCGCATAGTTGGCACGACACCGATCCAGGCCGCGGCCCCCCCTGCCACGGTAGTCATCGCGTTGCGATCCTGTGCTTCTTGATCCTCGGCCGCCATATGTACTGCCACCCTTGGAGCTATTCCGGCCACGGTAGCCACCGCGTCCCCGGCCACGTAAATTTCCCCGACCAGAGGTAGTATAGAGGACATTATGGACATCTGAAGTGGATGCGGAGGCAGAGTCATTGAGCTGTAATTTTTTCTCAAGAGTGACGTTGAGTTCTTCGGATAGGAGCCATGCCGAGACTTGATTTATATTGACATTCCCGATATTAGTGCGGATGTTCTGTTTCAAGGAACTGTACTCTGCTGGCAATCCACGGAGTATGCATAGAATGACGTCTTGATCAGAGATACTCTCATGGGCTAGAGTGAGAGACGAGACAATATTCAAAACATTGTCAAGGTATGTTTGCATGGTGTCACTCCATTTTTGTAGACTATGAAGTCGTTCCTTCAACTGAAAAATATGAGTGCGAGATAGGGAATTATATCGTTGTTCGAGATGACTCCAAATTGCGGCTGATGTCGGAAGGGTATGAATGTGTGTTTGAACGGTGGGGGAGATGACCGCCAATAAGCATGCACGAATCTGAGCATCGACAATCATCCATGTCTCATAGGCTGGATTTGCCTTCATAACTGGGGAATCTTCTTTGCGGGAGATGGCGGCTTTTTCGTCAAGAATAAGCGAGGGAGGTGCCGGTTCCGTGCCATCCACGTAACTGAGAAGCCGGTGAGCCATTAGATTAGCTCGAAGAGTTTCCGACCAAGAAGGATAGTTTGAATCATCAAGTTTCGCCGGAGTAAGAGATTGGAGATTCCGTACGAACAGCTTGAGACCAGTGGGGAGGTGATCCATCGGATCGGCTGATGAAGGAGGCATGGTATACGCAATTGGTTTGCGCGGAATCACACCAGTGGATATACTGCAAATTGCAGAGAAGGGTAATATACTCCGTACGTGCTGTAGAGATGGGATAGGAGTAGTGGCGCTGGTTTTCAACAAGAACCCTAGGCGCTGGAATTTTTTCCTTCTTGCGTTAATGCACGAGACAAAAGCAGAGAAGCGGATCTAGTAGCTCCGATACCATATTGAGTTTATGAAATAATAGATTTTACTTGAATAATAGATGAGGATACATGTGTGTATATATAGCTAGAGATCCTATCATGAGTAGGACTATGACTCCTCTAAGATGACAACTTGTTGTTCTACTACAATTAGGACTACAATAATACAATAATACTATTATGTCTAACAATTTCCACTATTTCAGGATAATATACAAAAAAACTCTCCCATGTTTACAAGGCTAAATTCCAGACACTCATAAACAGATCTTTTCACATCCTATGCCCGGATGTATTTTTCCGAATAACTAGATATCAACTACTCCCTACACTCACCCACACCCACACTCCCGATGGTATTCTTGTGTAGAATCCTCTTTTAATTTTTTGTTTCTCTCTCTACCTCAGTGTGTTGAAAACCACACACATATATTCAATGGTTGCCTTGCTTTTATAACCAATAAAATACTCCGGATGCATGGTTTTTGAAGTCAAGAAAGAAAGATCCACTTTGATTTGATCACATGCACCAAGCCAATTTGTTGTCTCTTACGTTTCTTTCTTCCATTTTATTCTTTTGTCTTCTTTCTTATTGCCCTTTCTTTTGATTATTTAATCAAATATCCTAACAAACTCCACCTTGATTAAATAATCAAAAAAATTTGTAGCTCCACCTCACTTGTCCCGTGAGATCATTGCTACCCTTAGAAAAAAAATTACCTTGGCTCCATCTCGATTTGTTCCTCGAGATCACCGCCAACCTTAAAGACGAAAACAAATACCTCGTGGCTCCACCTCGATCAATCCACTGAGATCACCATCACCATGGAATTTTTTCCGTGAATCTATCTTGCTCAAGTCCACAAGATCTCCACAACCATGTGTTGCCTTCGTGGCTCTACATTGCTCAATACCACAAGATCCCCCGCCACTTCCAGTTGTCGTTGAAACCGTGAGTTCGTGACTCCACCACAACCGACCCCGTCTAGATCTTTGTCACTACCTTAGCTCCTTATAGTTTTAACCCTCCACCCCGAGCTAAAAAAATAACAACTCACCTTTGTTAACACTCTCTGAGACCATCCCTCTAGAAATTAGCTTCTTTTGATCCGCCCATCTTGCACCGCCGCAGCAACACCAGCGGGACATGCCGCCCGACCTCTTCTTTCCAGGAAGACTTTCAACACAAGACATAAACCACAGTTTCAACTCAGCTTGACCACCGGTCTCCTCAAGTCCTGTTCATGCACCATACTTCACAAAGCCAACTTGCTGCTTCGTACCTGGTCCCCATGCCATCCACTTTGTTCGTGAAGTCCTATGGTCGCCTTCTGACCAAAACCTACCACTCCCTGGTGTTCTCAAATTTTCTCCTTTTACCACTTACAAATCTCTCGTGCCCAACGCAACCATGCTCTGATACCAATTGTTGGGATTTTAAGCGGGTAAGATACAGAAAAATATTGAGAACACCAGAAAAATGAGAGAACAAACACAAGAAGAATATATGAGAGAAAAAAAATTATATTTCCACTATTTCAGGACAATATACAAAAAAACTCTCCCCTGTTTACAAGGCTAAATTCCAGACACTTACAAACAGATCTTTCCACATCATATGTCCGTATGTATTTTTCTGAGTAACTAGATATCAGCTACTCCTTACACTCACCCACACTCACCATGACTCCTTGGATTTTCCCGGTGGTATTCTTGTATAGAATCACACATGTATTCAATGGTTGCCTTGCTTTTATAACCAATGAAATACTCCGTATGCATGGTTTGAGAAGTACAAAAAGAACGATCCACTTTGATTTGATCACATGCACTAAGCCAATTTGTTGCCTCTTACGTTTCTTTCTTTCATTTTATTCTTTTGACTTCTTTCTTATTTTCCTTTCTTTTGATGATTTAATCAAATATCCTAACAAGTTGTTTCTTAAAAGAAAGGAGTAAGAGATTTTGAGACAAGAAAAAATGGAAAGGAGAAAATTTTTTGGAAGGAGGAATATGAAAATAAAAATGAAAAGGTTTTTTTGAGACATAAGAAGTATCTAATTCTAAAACTCTGGATTTAATTTACTTTTTCATGAATTCAAACTAAAAGTGAAAGTGTTGTTGTTGTGGTATGAAAAAATAAAAGTGGAAAGGTTTTTTTGGGACATAGAGAATATCTTATTCTAAATCTCTAGATTTAATTAAATTTTCATGAATTCAAACAAAATGCACTTTAAGTTGAGCAAATAAGTTTTTTTGTCGTGTGATAGACTTAGCGAATCGCGTATAAACACTTTTAGATTAAAATTATTTTTGTGTATACCAAATACTTTAATTGCATAAGACGTAAGTAATCTAGAGCGAGTATGAAATTTTTGTCGTATCGAAACATACCCTGCACCTTGTATTTATAGGCAAATTTCTAAAGTGACATGTTGGTTGATGAAACAACACAACTTTTTGGATAACATTCGAATGTTACTACTCGAGCAATCGAATGTTTAATGGCGGACCGAGATAAATGGTTACTTCCATAGTTATGTGTGAACCGTTGAAACTTATCGCGAAAAATTAGAATGTTTGAGTTCAAACATTTGAATATATCAAGTAGTTTTCACTACGCAAAAAACAGTGTCAGACGACTGTTGATTAACTACTGTTTATGGAAAAACAGTAGTTAAAAAAATCAGACTACTGTTTGTTGTTGTTGGGTACAAAAGTAGTAGTCTAGCTATTATGCTTAAAACTATTTTTAAAGTTTTGAGAAACAACATTCTAATATTAGTTGTCTGTGTCATATCAAAATACAGTTTTTGTTATCACAGTTGTTAATAATAAGTTAAGAATACTCTTTTTAAACAGTAGTCTAGTTATTCAGTCTAGAACTATTTTTAAAGTAATGAGAAATAATAATCTATTGCTAGTTGTCTGTGTCATATAGTATTTTTGGCACTATTGTTTATAATAAGAATACAATACTCTTTCTTAACAATAGCCTAGATACTTAGCCAACAACTATTTTTAAAGTTCATAGAAACGGTAATCTATTAGTAGTTGTTTGTGTCATATCAAAATATGGTTTTTGTTGCCACAGTTGTCTATAATAAATTAAGAATACTAATTTTAAACAATAGTCAGGCTATAAAGCCTAGAACTATTTTTAAAGTTATGAGAAACGGTAATGTATTACTAGTAGTCTGTGTCACACGGGTTTTTTTTACAATTGTCTAGAATAAGTTAAGAAAACACTTTTAAAGAGTAGTGTGGATAGTAAGCGTAGAACTATTTTTAAAATTATGAGATATAGTAATCTATTACTAATTGTCTGTGTCATATAATTGTTTTGCTAGAGTTAGTTGTTTATAATAAGTTAAGAATACTCTCTTTAAATAGTAGTTTAGGTATTAAGTCTCAAACTTTTTTAAAGTTCAAAGACACGATAACCTTCACTACAATGAATATGTGTACGCTATCTAACGTTACTTTTGTAATTTTGGGCGAAACTTTAAACAACAATCAAATAACCGCTGTTTAAAACAATTACGTAGTATCATTTTAAAAAATAAACACTTTTATTGAAAGAATATAAAAAGTACATGGACAGGCTATGTAATGTCCCGCTACACACAAAGGGAATAGGGAACCCATACAATCAATCAATCTCACTCATAAAAGAAAAAAAGCAAAAAGAAGATGGCTAACCCCAGTCAGCTACAAATGTATTGATTTACCATTCGAAGGTTTGAGCCTTGACAAGGGCTTTTCCCTTTGGACCATGCTCTTCGGGGCCGCTACTCCCGGACCCTAGTTATGAAATTTATAATGTCGTTGAATGAGCGTGCACTCTGTACTTCTGAACTCCTTAACATCTATTAAAATTTTTGTCCATTCTAAGTAGTTTCCAATTACAGAAAATAGTCGATGATATTAAAATCACTAATAGTATGTAGATTCGCGTGAGTTTTCTTTTTTAAGTAATAGAGTACTCATTTCAGTAATTTATTTTATTGTGTATATATTCAAATGCCCAAAACTTAAATTATTTCAAAAATGCCCAATTTGGATAATAAGAATGCGAAGAGAGGCATGTTCAAAGCCTTAGTAAACAAATCAGCAATTTGTAGACGAGTAGGAACATATGCGGTAGTGATCTCACTGCGCTGAACACATTCACGGACAATGTGGCAATCAATATCAATATGTTTCATACGCTCATGAAAAACAGGATTGCAGCAATAAATAAAGCGGACTTATTATCACAAAACAAACGTGGCGTCATCGGTGGAGCAATGCCGAGCGCCCAAAGAAGACCGCGAATCCATCGTACTTCTGCATATGCGTTAGCCATAGCACGATATTCACCCAGAAGAATGAAGTAGCCGCTAACAGAGCGACGAGTAAGAGGACAAGATGCCCAGTCGGATTCACTATAAGAAGATAGCTGTAGTGAACTGTCACTACGTAAGAGAATACCCTGACCTGGATGACCCTTCAAGTAGCGAAGGACCCGTTTGGCAGATTCCATATGATCAAGGCAAGGCGCATGCATAAATTGAGACAGAACATGAACCGAATAAGTGAGATCCGGATGAGTGATCGTGAGATAAATTAAGTGACCCACAAGTCGCCGATACTGTGCCGGGTCATGAAGCTCGGCGCTAGTCGACCTACCCAGCCCGTGGTTCGACGTAATGGGTGTGTCGACTAGTTTGCAGCTCTGTTAGCTTATTCGGATACGGGTATAATACGTCTATTCGTACGTTCGTGTATAATACGGATCACTTTTTTAAAATACGTTTTATTATACATTTTATACGTTTGGAGTACGTATACAGAGACGTTCGTGTATTATACGTTTGATATTTCAAAAATACGGCTTATAATGAATGCATATTTTTTTAATAAGAAACACATTTTAAGTTTTGAAATTGAATACAAATACATCATAAAGTTATAAAAATTTAACCAACACTACGATTTATTGTTTGTTCATTTTTTCCATGAGTACCCAAAGGAGATCTTTCAATCTAATTATTAATGTGTACTTTCACAAAATGTATTCAAAGTAAGAACACATTCTTAAAAATGAAGCCAACATTATTTAAGACATGAAAAATTTATATTATTAGACAATTTATGTTTTACAAAATTGATTAAATGTTTATCATGAATTTAAAAGGATGATTTAAGTCTCTTTATAATTTAAATATGAACTTACTAAATGATGCTTTACACAATTTAAAAGTTGAGTAAAATTAAATTTAGTCTATATTTTTTATTTTTAGAATACAAATATATAGTTACGAGCTTAGATTTTTTTGAATTTAGACCATACAAATAAAATCAAATTTGTATTTTTAAACGTGGTCAAATATTTAATCTTATGGACTAAATACAAAAAATTGGCCACATTTTCAAAATCTAAACAAATAGAGAAAAATGTTGTTGTCTACGATTCGCTGGTAGGGTGTGGGTGACATTTTATTAACAAAATATATTGGAGGATGACTTGAACTACGATCCGACTTTAATACTTTTATAATAATTGAGTCGCCAAATTTTAAAGATTTGTATTTTTGCAGAAAGACAACCAATTTATTTGATCTCATATGAATTTGACCCCAATGATTTTGCAATATAATATGTATAAAATTCGTAAATACGTTTGGGGTCAAAAATACGTGTATTATACCTTCGTCCCATTAAAAATTCGTATTCGGGAGTATAATACGTGTATCATACGTACGGGTGTATAATACGCATATTATACGCCAATAAGTAACAGAGGTTTGCAGCCCAAGAGACCAGCTTCATGAAGGATGTCGAGTGCATATTTCCGCTGACAGTGAACAATACCCTTCGCAGATCGAGCACACTCAATGCCCAAAAAATAAGATAAGGGTCCCAAGTCCTTCAGGTGAAAACATCGATCAAGATAAACTTTGAAAGAAGCACATAAGGTGGGGTTGTTACCTGCAACCAAGATGTCATCAACATAAACCAAGACAACCAAAATGTCAGATCCTCGACGATGAATAAAGAGGGTGTGATCTGCATGTGCCTGACGAATCCCGTATCGCCGAAGGGCACAAGTGATTTGCGTAGCCGACAAACTTTGCCTGGCTATATCTGGGAAAGTCCAGGTGGCATCCGCATGTAGACTTCCTCAATCAGATCACCATGAAGGAAAGCATTATTAACATCAAGTTGGTGCACCTGCCATCCCTTTGCCGCGGCCATAGAGAGCAAAACACGGACAGACCCCATTTTTGCTACCAGGGCAAAAGTGTCAGTGTAATCCACCCCCAAAGTCTGATGATTTCCAAGAACAACCAAACGGGCCTTGTCCCGTTCTTTAGTGCCATCTGAATTAAACTTGGTCTTGAAGACCCATTGACAGCCCAAAGCTGTCCGATCCGGAGGCAAGTCTGAGATTTCCCAAGTGTTATTATTGACCAAAGCTTGGAGCTCCGTGTCCATTTCCGCACACCAATTGGCGTGTGGGACCGCCTCAGAGTAATTTTTAGAGACAAAATGAGGACTGATGGCGCCAAGAAATCCTTGATACCTGTCATGTAATTTATGATAACAAACAAAGTTGGCAATAGGATAACGTGTACCTGAAGACGGGCGAGTAGGAAGGCAATGAGCACAGTGGAGCGGGAGTTTGAACAGAATTGATGATGTAATCACTAAGATGAGATGGCTAACGGAGCTGCCGTTGAGGACGAAGTGAAGGAGCGGCAGCTGTATGGGGGTGAGGCTGGGTGTCGGTGGGCTGCTCGGTGGCAGCTGCCAGCTGGGCAGGCTGGCCGTCAGGTATGGCAGCCGGAAGGGGGTCGGGCAGGGGTGATTCGGGAAAGTCGGCATGTGGGGTGGAGGTAGAGGGTTCGGACGGCGTATGATGTGTGGCAAACGGGAACGTGCTCTCGTCAAAAGCAATATCCCGAGCGTGAAAGAAACGATGAGTATCAAGGTCATACACACGCCAACCTTTTATGCCGGAGGGGTACCCAACAAACATGCATTTGGTGCTTCGAGGAGAAAATTTATTGGATGTCCTGAGTCGTACAAAGCATAGACATCCAAAAATTCTAAGTTGACTAAGATCGGGTGCTTTGTGATTTAGAACTTCAAACAGAGACTTACCACCAAGCAGTTTGTTGGGAGTACGGTTAATTAAATAAACAGCAGTACGAACACATTCCCCCCAGAATTCAATAGGTAAGTGAGCTTGAAACATAAGGGCACGGGCGACATTTAATATGTGGCATAATATGATCGAAGGTCCTGATTGACAAATTCAGGGCCATTATCAGAACGAACAATTTTTATGGTTTTATGAAATTGAGTCTGTATCATGGGAAAAAATTGTTTCAGACAACTAGGTACTTCAGATTTATTAATAATCAAATAGGCCCAAACTGCACCAGAGTGGTCATCCACAATAGTGAGAAAATAATGTGCACCAGTAGCTAAACAAGGGGTGTAGGGGCCCCATAAATCACAATGAATGAGATAAAAAACACTAGTAGCTTTATTGGAACTAACAAGAAAAGAACTACGAACTTGTTTGGATTGAAAACAAATTTCACAAGATTGTAATAATTTAAGTTTAGAGCTACTAACAGAAGGAATAAGAGACGAAAAAACTTGAACAGATGGATGTCCCAAGCGTTTATGAAGGAGAGAAGGATCCTCTTGGGTAGCAAGTGCTGTAAAACATGGACGAAACAGGAAAACTCCATTGTGTGCATCACCCCGTCCAATCTCCATCTTCGTGACACAGTCCTGTATGACACAACAGTTTTTGTTAAAAATAACAAGACAAGAAGTATCTCGAATAAGACAACCAACAGAAATAAGATTGCACTGTAGATGAGGAACAAGCAAAACACCCCGAAGCACTACTTCGGGCGAGAGCCGCACACGACCACATCGAGTGGCTGTAGTCTGTGTGTCATTAGGCAACGTGATGACACAGGGGGGCCATGGGAACCACATCAGTCAAAAGGGAAATATTACCAGTCATGTGATGAGAGGCGCCGCTTTCAATAAGCCACTCACGAGACGATGCATCACCATTAGACCCAGTATCCTTGTCGGAAGACGAAACGTCGAGCATGGAAAGTAACCGGGTCATCTGATCAGGTGTGAGGCCCAGGGCGTTGAAGTTGGTGGCTGGATTTGCTCCCCCTGTCGCCGATCCTACCCCTCGGCCAGACCCACGGCCATGGGCGCTACTGCCGCTGGACGACGTTCAGCCACCACCGCGACCCCCCACGGCCGGATGTAGTGCCGCGACCCCCACGGCCCTTCCCAGGCAGATACCCATGCAATTGATAGCACCGATCCATGGAATGGCCATCTTTTCCACAATGTGTGCATGAATAATGGGGGGGGGGGGTCTCCACGACCCATGGTAGGAGCGGGACGTTGCATGGCAAAGGCGAGAGCGTCCGTACGGTCATCTCGGCCATGGACAATGCTCTTGTGGCGTTCCTCTTGAACGATTAGAGCATAAGCCCGGTGTATGTCCGGAACAGGTTCGGTGGCAATAATCTGAGATCGGATGTGACCGAACTGTTCGTCGTCGAGACCGAGCAAAAACTGATGAGTTTTCTCCTGTTCCTCACGCGCCCGAATCAAAGCTGCAGCCTCACACCGGCAACTACACGTTGGATCAACAGATCCATACAGCTTGGTCCACAAAGTCACAAATTGATTATAATAAACAACCACAGTTTGTCCCTTTTGACGCAAAGATTGAAACTCAGATTTCAATTGATGAATGCGAGGTCCATTCGAACCTCCATATATGGTCTTCAGATCTAACCATAATTCATGAGCAATTTTATGAGAGATAATGGAAGGTTGGATGTGTTCATCAACACTGTTACAGATCCAAGAACAAATTATTGAATTATTAGCTTTCCATGCCGCCAATTCCTCTTCATCAGTGGGTTTAGGAAACCCGGAGGGATTGAGAAAACCTGCTCTGCTACGCCCTTCGAGAGCATAAATAATGGTTTTCTCCCAAATATCATAATTGTCACCTTTGAGAAGATGTTTCGTCAAGGAATTACCCGCGCTTTTGGACGGGTGGATGTAATACGGAGAGGTAGGGTCGTGGATGAGCCTGACCTTCTTTGTTCCTTCGCTTTCCATGGAAACGAAGATAGCACTGTCGTGAGACGGCGGTTACGTGACCGACGTGAGCCGGTGCTGCAGCGGTGGTGACCGACGTGAGCCGATCAGAGAGAGGCGACCGTCCTGAGGCGGCCGGCGAAGCAACGGTGGCGGCACCGTGCGTAAGAAAAAAACGAGCCTAGGGTTTGAGAAGTTCCCGGAAAATTGGCTCCGATACCATGTAGAATTTTGGAAAAACTGAACTGCCTTTCATTCAATATTCACAACGTATATATACATGTGCCAAGTCCTACTACGAGTAGGGAAAGGACTACTTATAAGGAAATAAATTACAAAGTAAATAATTACATATATAGAAGGAAATAAATATATATGCTAACAACTACACACAAAACATATATATGTTCATTTGAAATCGAAATAATCATCATTACGTTTACATCGAATGTACATTCTGCTGTAGTATAATCCCCCAGTCCGAAAAAGAATTGCATTTTGCACTATTCAAAAGCCACAGAATCTTTATTTATTTGTGCGCGTTGATTGATTATTTGATAAAATAAAATATTCTTATCAAATTTTGTGTTCTAGAACTTTTGACCCTGTTTTTAATTATGTAAGTCTTATTTTTAATATTATACCAACATTTTGAATAAAATGAATTTAAAAAAACTTAAAATTTCACTTTGTTTTATATATTTTGGAACAGAGTGAGTATTTTATAAATGGATAATATGGTAATTTTTTAATTTAGAGGAATGATCATGCGTTTAAATTTATTGAAGAAAAATTTTCTCCACATAGGACTAAAAGGTAGTACATTTCCCTGAATAGGACCAAATATGTTTTATTCCCTTTCTGACATATGATTCCATATGATTTACCATATATACCCTCATTAGGAACAAGTGTTAGATAATGATTGATTAAACAAATAACTCTATTAATATGGTCATTAGTAATTTGATTATCCTCTACTGAATTTTGGTGAAACTTTGTTCAGGTTTGGATCGAGGAGCGGCATCATTAAAGGTTCATCACAGGAATCATCCCTGTGCTTCAACTCATGATCTCTACACCCCACCAAGCCTCACCCAGATTCTGACTCGGGACCAATTACGAGTTAACTCAATCCATGATCGAGGCAGCAAGGTCGAGCACCTCAGCGAAGCCGCGGCCATTTTACCGACCCAATCTCCCAACCTCAACTTATTATATTTCGGCACCACGAAATATGTCGTCTCCGTCGGCATCGGCACCAATGCGACGGACCTCGTCCTCATCTTCGACACCGGATCCGACCTCACCTGGACTCAGTGCCTCCCCTGCGCCCGGCCGGGAGGTTGCTACGAGCAAGTGTTATCTATTTTCGACCCGAAGAACTCCCATACTTATTCTAACATCTCGTGCAACTCCGCCGCGTGCTCGGCCATGGACCGAGTTCCTCGACACACGGGGAATTGTTCATCGCCTTCGTCAACGTGTGGGTATGGGATATCGTACGACGACTCGTCCTTCTCCGTGGGCTACTTGGGGAAAGACCGATTAACTTTGACGCAGGCAGATGCCATCATAGACAATTTCACATTCGGGTGCGGGCACTACAGCAACGGGACTTTCGGTAAGGTTTCGGGGATTCTAGGCCTCGGCCCCGGCCCCTTATCGATCGTCTCCCAAACGGCTGAAAAGTATGGCAAAATCTTCTCCTACTGCCTCCCCACGCAAAACGGAAATAATGACGGGTATCTAAAATTTGGGAGATATCAAGATGCAGGGGAAAATTTCAGTTTCACGCCCTTCGCAAAGAAGGGCAATAATGACACCTCTTTCTACTACGTCCAAGTCGAATCCATCAGCGTTGCCGGGAAGAAACTCCCGGTTAACGCGATGGCATCCGGAAATGCCAGAATGATCATCGATCCTGGCACCACCTTAACCCATCTCCCCCCGAAAGCGTACGAGGCGCTCAAATCCACCTTCGAGGAGGCGATGAAAACTTATAATACTGCGCAAGCGTTTTCCATACTGGACAACGGCTGCTTCGACCTCAGTAAGTACGCCAAAACAAAGACTAACATTACCATCCCGACCGTAGTCTTCGAGTTCAGCGGGAACGTCACGGTGGGTGTACCCACCCATGGGACCGTGACTGTGGCCGACGAAAATTATTCTCAGGTGTGCTTGGCCTTCCTCGCTAACAAAGACCCCGAGGATGTAGGCATTTACGGAAGCATGCAGCAGCAGACTGTGGAGGTGCTATACGACGTCGCAGGAGAGAGGCTTGGCTTCAGCCCTTCTGGCTGTACTTGATGATATAGAGTAATTCATCTGAATGAATGAAGCACTAAGTTATTACGCATGTTTTTTTACTTCGTATGATTTCCACTGTGCTATTAAAATTTAAATTGTGTGCACTAGAGAAAGACCAAAGTAGGACTAAAACATTAAAAATATCCTAAAATAGGATTTTCATATTTTTATTTCCGAAATAAGATTTACATTACCAGACATGGTCATATACATTACCAAAAAAGTATAGTGCAAAGTCACATTACCACAGTGCAAAGTCTTATTTTGAGGAAAAAACATGAAAGTCCTATTTTGGCACATTTCTATATGTTTTAGTCCTATTTATGGTGATATCTATTATATTTGTAGAGTTTGGTTTTTCCTTGTTAAACTGGATAAATTTTGGACCTTAATTAAATAAAAATCGTAATTTATATTGCTATAAAAATTGATTTCATTAAATTTATGTGGTTGAGAATTTTTTAAAATTTTATTTTAATGTATTAATATTTTATAAAAATTGAAAGTAATTGATAATTAAAGTTCAACCATTTAGACTGGAACAAATCAAACTAAACAAATACACTAACACAAAGAAAATATTTACTCCGTGCTATCTTTGGTTGTAGTAGTGTATTCAATGCAAATTCAATGCAAACTCTGTAGATTTTGTTTTGCATTTTAAAACTTGGATATTCAATTAACATTTTAAATATACACTTTGTATTTCACCCATTAGACGAAACAAGACCTCTTTTAGAAACTAAGGGAGTAATTTATAATATGAATTTATTCAATTTAGATTTTAAAATGTTTATCAAAATCTAATGGTCTTAAGCAAATTTTGGAAGAATTTGTTAGACAAGGTGTGCAACTCTGGAGAGAGGTGAATAGAGTTGTTGAGAATTTTTACCGTTTTTCGCAACGTGTGTGTAAATAAAAACTAATGAGTATGTAGCGAAAATAAAAGAGAGAAGGCAAAGAACATACCGATGTATACTGTTTCACCACCTTGTGGCCTGGCTAGTCTAGTTTCCGAGAGACTCTCTCGAAGCTACCAATTAGTTATTAAGCTAAGCTTCAACGGGTGCTTCACAAACCGTTTACAACCTGAAAACTTGAATCCCAGAAACCTCAACACAACCGCTTGTAGATGTACCCTCTACAAGACTTCACACTGCACCTAAGACTTAGGTCACATAAGTCTTGTACAACAAGAAGAGTAACCTTCTTCAACTTCAGAATAAATCTCTCACAAGAGTGAAAATGAAAAAATGATTAAGCTCGCTCTATGGGTGACAAGAACACTCTCTTGAAAACAAATTATTTTCTCTCAAAATAAATTAATTTGAGGAAGAAACTAATGGGTGTAAAAGATCATAATAATGAGGTGTATTTAAAGTTTTTCGCATGTCTAAAAATGACCAAGGAGAAGAGTTTTAAATAGGGTAAAGAAAATTTGTCCGTTGGTCCAAGTAAAGAAGTGGAATATGAAAAACAATCATAAAAAATCAATTTTTTAAGTACACAAATCGATTATTGATTATGTTTCTTCAGAAAATAATTCATCCAGAAGCAAAAATTTGATTTTTGAAAAAATATAAAATCAATTTCTAGAGCGAGCAATGCCTAGACAGGATAAAAACATGCATGTGCGCGGAGATAAAGCATTTTTGTCAAAAGCTTCTTGTTTCCCACAATATGACATGGTGATTTGATAGTCCAATCACCTCAATTATCTCAATATTCAAAATTTGAATATTTAAGGATAATTAGGGTTTAGAAATTGAGTCTCAAAAATAATTTATGTCAAACAATGTCTAGATATATTTAAATAAAATATTTTTGCTTACCACAAATATTTTTAAAAATCAAAATAACTATAGAAATCACCCCTAATAGGACTAAAACATTGTGCTAATCCCTAAAATAAGAGTTCATGTTTTTTATCCCCCAACTAGGACCTCTCCCGCCACATTCTTTCTTTCTTTTCCGATTTTGCCCTCCTTTTCCTTTCTGTGTCACACTTCACAATCCTGCCCAGTCTACATTACAACTCTTTGTAATACACATTACCACATTACATACTGTGACACTTTACATTACAATGGTTCGTAATATTCATCACCACATTACAGATTATGACACTAGTAATATCCACATTACATACTTTGCTGGACTATCATGAATTTTTTTAACTGCATATTAACCATTGAATATTTTTATTTTTTTTGTTATGATTTAAAGTCAACCTGTCCATATGAGTTTGAAGTTATTGATTTACATTCGCGCTCTTATGTGGTCAACTTAAAGGACAAAACACGCACATGTTGTGAATTCCAACTTGATCAATTTATTTGCGTTTATGCGGTGGCTGTTATTGGGAGACGTCCCGGCTTATCTTGTTATGATTTTATCTCTCCTTTCTATAAAATTGAGGCATTAGTATATATGTACATATGCTGGTATAATCCACCCAATTAGCGATGTGTCTTCATGGGATGTTCCTCAACAGACTTTGTCAATAATTTACAAATCACCACCTTGTGACAAATGGCCTCCAGGAAGGTCTAAGAAGAGGCGCTCCCTGTCTATTCGAGAGGGCTATCAGGGACAACATCATGAAAAATAAAAGTGTTTGCACACTGCAAATCGTACCACCATAACAAGAAGTCATATAGAAATCCTATTCCATGAGTGGAAGATCCAAACACTATTTGCTATCACTTTATGTTGCATTACATGACTTTTTTAGTATGATTTAACTGTGTTAAAATTGCTTGTACTAAGATGTAATGTACTTTTTAAAATGTCCTTCCATCTTGACACTTTTATTTCATAATTTCGTTTCATCTAAATAACCTTTGTCATTGAACTCTGTGTACAGTGCCACAAATTGACATATACATGACCAACTTCAGGGACTCTTATAAATTGTTATGTAAATGAGAAAACTAAAATTTCATATTGTAAATGGCCGCCATGTTATGTCAACAATAATGCAACACTTAACTTTAATACTAATATATTTATTTTATATATGGTAGTTAATGTTTGCGGCAGAGTTGAGAGGGAGGGTAGGGTATTTTGGGGATGGCCATGCAAACTAAGTCCTATTTGGGGAATTTATGTTTTAGACTCCTATTCACGTATATTTGATATGTTTTAATCATATTTAGGTTTTTTCCCTTTAACAAAAAAGTCGAATTGTGACAATATTTTAGGGATGGAGGGAGTATTATTTTTTGCTTTTGACTTTTGAGATCGGCATGGGTAGAGGGATCAGACCGGCTCCGTTTTTAAATGATATGTACTCCCTTCGTCCCTAAAAGATTTAAAAATTTTGATTTTTTGATCAAACTGTGACACTATTTGACCACAAGTTTAATACTGTATAATTTAGGATAATTAAAAATTATAAAATTTTGAGATTTCAAAACTTTTTTATAATAAATCCAATTTTACTAAATTTACATTATAACTAAATATTTTTTTCATAATTCACGGTCAAAGTATGTCACAATTGGACTAAAAATATGGGATTGTGTAAAAACAGGATTGATTTAGTTTTTTTGACACCGGATAGTCTGCTTACGGCCGGTTCAAGTCCGGTCTAATCTTTATTTTTCAGAAAAGTATAAAAACTTCTTTAACAAGTAATTATAATATTCATACTGTAAAATCTTACTTTTGTTTATCTAATTTTTTGTATTACTAAACTTCATTGGTTTATACAAATTAAGTATCTAGGCAACATAAATATACTCTTTGAGGTAGAAGTTAAATACAATCAACAAAAAATATGATTTGTATGTTCCTATATATTTGATACTTTTTTGTTTTGTTATTATAACATATATAGTCTCTCAATAACTTTTGTTTATTTGTATGTTTCATTGATTATTTGATGAAATAAAACATTAATATCATATCTTATTTTATTAAACTTTTAATCTAGTTTTGTAATATATAATTTATATTTTTATTACTAATTTGTAAATAAAATATTTTAAAAAAAGATGAGATTTTACACATTGTTGGAAGTTTGACCAGATTTTTGGACAGAGCCAAAAGAGTATGTTGTAAAATAATACGGAGTAATAAAAAAATAATGACGTATTTGTATAAATATTACAGAGTACATATTAAAGAATAGAAATATTAAAAAGTTACATTTTAATGGCATATTTTAAGACCAGTCTTGGTTCAATCTCGGCATTACTATTTCACTGCACAAAACACCACCGGTCGAGATCGGTATAGTTTTTCACCTCATATAAGGGACCAATTTGTCTTGTTTGGTCTATCTCTTCACACTTTTTCAATCTCAGTCTTTTTACCTTCACTATCCCGAACAACAAATCAATGTCACATATATATGCTCCTTCCATTTCAAAATATTCTTTTCATTTGATTTTTTCTTATTCAAATTTGTATACTTTGATTTTGATACTCCCTCCGTCCCGAAGTATTCGTCCAGTTTTGACTTTTGGAAATGTTCATCTAAGCACTTTGACTTATCAAATTTTCTCAATGTGTAAGCCTAAATATAGTCATATGTGATCTTGTTTGATTTGTCTTAACATATAGATTATTAATATATAATTTCAATAATTTTTTAATATACAAATTACAAGATAAAATGGATTAAAGAAGTGTATTGGATGGTATGTAAAAATGAAAGTGGACAAATACTCTGGGACGGAGGTAATATGTCAAAATGCATTGTATTATGATGCAAATTTAATATCAATATATTTCTATCGAAATATACTTTTGATATATCAAATTTTTATAAAATATATTTATGTATAGATATAGATATTAATTTTCAAAGTACAACATTGGAGATCGTAAAATGTTAAATGAGAAGAATATTTTCCGACGGAGAGATTATTGTATTGGTGACACATTCAATCTTTCTTTAGTTAAGAAGATTAATTAGGGAATTAGAATCAAATTCAACAAAGTTAATTATGATGAACACTTTTTGGTTGGTAACTTAAAAATTGGATCTTGTAAGGTATGGATTTTTTTAAATGATGCGTAGATTTAGTGAAAACCTAAGATATAATACGATAATACGATATATTCGTCATCGGTGATGTTTTTATGCTATGCCCTCAATCAATTGAGTGGCTCCATCATCTCCGATGGAGCCGAAATTTCACCATTTTTTAGCTTTGAGGTGTGATGGAATAAATCAAAATGGATCTCTAAACTGTCTGCGCTTCTTTAATTAATGTAGTAGCAGTTAGTCAAACAATGCAACTTTCGACGTTGAGCCGGGGGTCTCTTTGGAAACAGCCTCTCTACTTTCGAGTAGGGGTAATGTTTGCGTACACACACCCTCCCCAGACCCTACTCTTGTGGAATTTAACTGGGTTGTTGTTGTTGTTGTACGGATTACAAAGAGGGGGAAGATGAGCGCTTCAGAAACATTTATAATTTATTCGTACAGAATATTACAGAATAAACAAAATTAAATAATTGTTTCCATTGGTAATTTTAGTGTCATCGACTATTTTGTGTAGCTAGGCTTACTTAGATCAGACTAGAATTTGAATGGACTTTGTCAAACGAGTTAGGAGATGCGGAGTGCACACTCATTTGACGATATTGCAAATTCATGGAAAGAGTCTGCGGGCGACAACTCCCGGTAGCAGAACCCCTGACCAAGGTCGAGATGACATTTTGGATATTATTGCTTTATGAAAATTCTTCAGATTTCTGTGAGCGAAGTCCAAAAGAATAGGAAAACCTGGACATCAGATAAAGATCAAATTTGACCAAACTTTGTGAATGTTTGCGTCTAAAATGTCAAAAGTTTGCGTTTGTTCCTACCTACCAAAGTTTACAAGTTTACGCAAAAAATCACATCTGATTGGCAATTCTTCTTTTCTATAAATAGAGACGCACGAGTATGGTTGAGAAAGTGATTTCGAAAGGCCAGTTCTTGATTAACGTCTTAATCGATTAAAATATTTTGGAATACCTCGAAATAACTTTGATCTAATTAAAAGCGTATTCGTGATTCGTTAAACTATCAAGTTGTAATTCTCGTTCTTTGTTTATTGATTCTTCAACACTGCTTCGCAGCATTCTTCCTTAGAAATTTCTAATCGTTTCCGGGTTTTCAAAAAACTTTTTCGTATGAGGACATTATACACTGGATTGCAAAGATAATACTCTCTCCGTTCCTTTAAACCCTTCCCATTTTCAATTTGGGACAAAATAAGCAAAGTATAATTTTTGTTGACTTTCCAATTTTGTCTCTGCTGATGTGATGGGTAAATGTAAGATGTGATGGTTTGGTTATTAGTGAAAAAAGTATGATGTGATAGGTATGGTATGAAAAGGTATGGGTAAAAGTTGTTTTTTAATAGAAAGTGGAAGTGTTTTAATAAATTGGAAAAAAATGAAAGTGAAAGGGTTTTATGGAACGGACCGAATATATATTAGGCTGATGTAGTAAGCCTAGGACAAGCACACGACGACTAGTGACAAGGTTTTTAGAACAACAGTGAGGACAATATGACTAGAAAAAGAATGCAGTGAGCATATTATGACATGGGGTACAATAACACATTTACACTAAGGGTCCGTTTGATACATAAGGGAATTGGAATTGAATTGAGAGTTAAAATTCTATGGATTTGATTTGGATAGAATTGAATTATCCAACTCCAATTCCCTTTTGGCACTACTGATTCCAAATCTAAATATTTTTGTGCTGCCGAATAACAGAATTGAAATTATTATCCTCTATTTCAATTTCATAATTTAAATTTTATGTACAAACAAAGTCTAACTATTTCACTATAGGGGATTTCAACGATGTCTTAAGCACTGAAGACAGAAGGGGGGGTAATCCCATAACTGAACAAGAAATGGAGGACTTCAAACAGTGTGTCATGGAGTGTGGACTTGAGGAACTACCTTTCAAAGGGTCATATTTCACATGGAATAATAAGCAAGGCATTGGCAGCAGAGTACACTCAAAGATTGATAGAGCACTATCAAACTTGGAGTGGGTAATAAGATTGGACCCTAAAACCATTGTTGTGGAGGAAGGTGTATCAGATCATACACCACTGATTATTACAGATGTCAAAGGTAAGTAGGACAATAAAAGTTTTAAATATTGCAATATGTGGAACTCAGATCCTCTATTACCCCAAATTATGAGTGATGTCTGGAAGGATAAAGACCATGGGAATAGTAATATGTACCAGTTGGTACAAAACTTAAGGAATCTGAAGCTCCCTCTAAAGAAGCTGCATAAAAATAAATGTCACCAGATACATGCCCAGGTAGATAAGGCCAGAAAGGAGCTATTGACAATACAAAGCCGATTAAAAGAAGATCCATTTAATAAACAGTGGGTGGAAATGGAGAAAGAGAAGCTTAAGGTGCTAAAGGAGAAAATTAAAGCTTCCCACCAACTACAATGTCAACGAGCCAAACAGGAATGAGTGACTGAGGGTGATCAAAATTCCAGGGTCTTCTTTGCTTGGATAAAAAAGAGAAGGATCCAAAATCATATATTAGCAATACAGAATGAAAAGGGAGATATCATTGAGGGGGCTGAAGGCATTGGTCAGGTTATGGAGCAATATTTTAGGAAGTTACTGGGAGCATCCACTGGTACCAAACCAGTGGATGTTGAGTGCATGAAGCATGGCAAAGTACTGAATATTGAGCAACAGCTAGAACTTGTAGATAAATTTTCCCCTTTACAAGTAAAGGAAGTCTTATTTAGCATACCCAACAACAAAAGCCCGGGTCTGGATGGCTTTAATAGTGGGTTTTACAAGTCCCAATGGAAGGCGGTTGGAAGGTTGGTTACTGCTGCAGTTCTAGATTTCTTTAATTTCAAATTGGCAAGACCTTGAAGCAGATTAACACAACAAGCATCACACTTATTCCCAAGATTGACAACCCTATTCAGCCTTCTGATTTTAGACCAATAGCATGCTGTAATATTACCTACAAAATCATCTTCAAGCTGATATGTTTAAGATTGAAGAGAGTGCTCCCGGAAGTGGTGAATTTAAACCAAGGGGCTTTTGTGCCTGAAAGACAGTTACTACATAATGTATTAATGTGCCAGGAGCTAGCAAAACATTACAACAGGAAAGGAGTTTCGCCCAGATGCATGATCAAGCTCGACATTAAAAAAGCATATGACTCTATTAGTTGGGATGCTATTAAACAGATTCTCATTTACCTGAAAGTCCCTAAGATGATGATCAATTGGATTATGTTCTGTATATCAACACTTTCTTACACCATTAAAATTAATGGGGGGCAGTATGGATACTTCAAGGGTGAGAAAGGGTTGAGGCAAGGGACCCTATATCCCCCCTGATTTTTGTTTTGGTTATGGAATATCTAACCAGGCTGTTTAAGAAGGAAACGGAGAAAAAAGGCTTTCATTTTCATCCACTCTGTGCATAAGAAAAAATTACTAACTTGGTGTTTGCAGATGATGTAATTGTGGTTAGCAGGGTAGATGAGGAGTCTATTCGATGCATCATGAAGACGTTGGAGATCTTTAGGGACACCACTGGTCTGGAAATTAACAAAGACAAGTCCCAAATTGTATTTGGAGGGGTGAGCCAGCAACAAGAGGAGACCTTGCTGAAAATGACCAGGATGGGCAAAGGTAAATTACCTTTCACATATCTGGGTAGCCCGATCACTGCATCTAGACTCAAAACTGCTGACTGTGACAGACTCATTGGAAAAATCACCAGTAAAATCACAGCGTGGAGCAGTAGGCATTTCTCATATAGCGCCAGAATCAGACTTGTTAATGCTGTCCTTCTTGGAGTGGTTACATTCTGGTCTAGAATATTTATACTGCCTAAAAAAGTGATAAGGACAATACAAAGCCTATGCAGGAACTTTCTCTGGGCAGGTACGCATGAGTATAAAAGAATCCCACTGGTAAATTGGGATCAAGCATGTCAACCAATATGGGGGCCTTGGTCTTAAAAACCTGGAAACATGGAACAAGGCTGCCATAATGAGACTGAATTGGGATGTGGCGAATAAGAAGGACATCATGTGGGTGAAATGGATCCATAACCGATACATCAAGTCAGCCACCTTTTGGGAGTATATTCCTAAGTTAGATACATGCCACTATTGGAAACAAATGATTAATGTAAGAAGAATATTTGATGGCATGACTATACAGGGTGAATATGAGATAAAAAAGGGCTACCAGTGGCTTCAAGGGACTAAAAACAGCCCCCCTTGGAAAGACTGGGTATGGAACACACTTACCCCTCCTAAATTCCAATTTATTTTTTGGTTAATTATGCAAGGCAAGATTCAGACCAAAGACAGGTTATGCAAATTTATGCCGATTGATACTACTTGTGTTCTATGTGGACTGGAACCTGAAAATATTGACCATCTGTTTTGGAACTGCAACTATGCAAAGGAAATCTATAATAGCATTCTACCAAGGTTTGATGTGAGAATTGTTGCTAGGGGCTTTGGGGAGGTTGGAGATACGACAATGAAAATTCCAAACAAAAGAAAGAGAGGAATTAGTTGGGCAGTTTGGGCCGCATGTTGTTATGGCATTTGGAGAGCAAGAAATGGAAAGATCCACCACAAGGAGATCAAGGAGAAGGAAACAATAGATTATATTGATTTTCATGTTAGAAGTTTCCTTATTTATAAAAAATCTTTGATGTAAACTTCAGTTGTAACATTGCTTTGTTATGGGTTGAGGAGTAATAAAATTGTAGTTTCGTTTCAAAAAAAAAGTCTAACTATTTTAGTGAATGGAGGAAGTTAGAAAATTGGCTCGGGAATGATCGGCCTAAATATATTTACACACACGGATTAGGCCAAGAATATTGGGTAAATCACACAATACTTTTTTCAAATTAAAAAAAGGGTGTTTCTCCCATGCCCAAGCAAATGAAAGGGCATGCATGCCCTTCCATTAAATTTCTACCATGTGGATAAACGATCCCATGTTATTTCAAATTTTGGAAATTATAAAAGGCACATTCCTTTTTTTTAGCCATAAACCCCGGAGTATAGTTCTCTTCATTTTTTTTAGTTATTACTCCATTTTATTCCCTCAAAAGAATGAAGAAGTCAACAATTCATTTATTACCCACTTACTTTTTCTTATTTGTTTATTATGTTCCATTAAATTTAATTTTTTATTTAATATTTTTTCCATCCTAATTTTAATTTCAAATTAGGAAATATAATGTAAAATTTCATGATTTTTGAAATAAGTTTATTTGCAAATTTATACACAATAAGTATTAGAATTATATATTAAAAAGTTTATAAAATATGAGGTGACAAGAATACTACATTTTTTCAAATAATCAGTTAAAATACATAAATAAGAAAAAGCTATCAGGAGACAAGAAAAAAGAAATTGTAATCAAACTTGGGATTGGTGGAATATTTATTCTCATTAAAATCATGTTACATCTAATCTAATAAAATGAACTTAAAAGAGATAATATTCAATTGAATCCCTTTTTAGATCAGATTAATTTAGAAGAATGTTAAAAACA